CGCTCCAACCTCTCCGCCGCCACCCTCTTCTTCCCCTCCGGTGAAAACTCCAACTTCATCGGCTTCCTCCGATTGTCTTTCGACGGCCCCGACGTCAAGGTCTCTGAAATTAAAATCCAAAAGCAAGGTTTCAAGCACCCGTACCATCGGATAACGAAGATATCGGTGATCCCCGCTTCAGAGCAGGACGTCATCATGGACACTACAGGCGAGATTGTGGCAGTTGATGGATTCTTGATTGCTGCTACACTGTACTCTGTCAATTGGTTTAGGGTTGAGTCTAGGGTTTTGGAGGGCGAGGAGGTTAGGATTTCTGTCCTGCCGATGGCGAAGCAGGGGTTTGAGAGTTTGGTGGTTGATGCTCGCCTGAGCCCACATTTTCCGTGGCAGAGTGTGGTGTTGTTGGAGTCCGGAGAGCTGTGTTGGTTTGATATGGAGGATAAGAGGAGCGGGAAGATTAGGGCTTGTGTGGGTTTTGGTGGTGGTGATTGGTTGGGGTGTGAGTTTGGAGGGCAGCCGTGGATTGTGTATGTTGCTTGTTCTTCAGTGGCGGTTAGGGTGGATATGAGAGTGAATGATGGAACTGAACCTAAGATTTTGGTTCGGGTTGACGGTGATGAAGATGATCGGATTCTTGCATTCTGTAGATCAAATTTTGATGATTTTCATGTAGCTGCGGTGACAGAGAAAAGACTGATGCTTTTTGATGTTAGGCAGCCGTTGGTTCCGATTTTGATTTGGGATCATGAATTGAACCGCCCTTCTTATGTATCTATGTTTAGATTATCGGAATTGAGACCGTCTGAAGAGTTCAAACGGGCATCGGATTCAGGGTCAGTGATTTTGGTTGGTTCATTTTGGAAAGATGAGTTTAATGTATTTATTTATGGGCCTAGAGATGGAGGTGCAATTAGTTGTGGTTCTATGCTTTATGCTTGGGAGCTTCCTTATTGTTTTCCTTTGTCCTGTCGCCATTATGGCTTAGATGACAGCCTTGCAAAAGATGATCTTGCGGCTAGTTTTGAGTGGAAACAGAAGGGGGATGTGGTTGTGGGGTTCTGGACGGTCCCGAATGATCTTCTCAAGGTAGAATCAGAAGATGGGGGCTTTGCTTTGATCAGGCTCATGCTATCCGGGAAGCTTGAGATGCAAAAGTATCATGCGTCACGGGATAAAATCAGAAGGAAACCAAATGCTAAAGGAGAAGAATTGCCAAAATCTGACAATTGGTATGTATGTTCTGTGGAGCATACAGGTAAAGCATCCTCACGACGTCATCCTTTAAGAATTGGGCATCTTTGTGAATATATGAATGGTAACTTGTCTAGTGAGCTTGTTATGTGCAAGCCTCAATTGAGCCACTTAAATAAAAAATTTCCAGCTGATTATCTCGAGCAACTTAAAGCCATCAAGCTAGAACCTTCAAATTATATGGTCTCTACATTTGTAAATGATGCCACAGTTCCGACTAGTATATTTGAAATTACATTAAGGAGAGTATTGTGCAATCTAGAATTGGATCACTCATCAATGGCTTTTTCCAAATATTCTCTTATTTCTAGAAACAATAAGGAACCTGTGTTCAATTTGTTAGAGGTTCCTAAACGTTTGCCTCAACATAGGTCAATACCTTTCTTTGTGGGCGACCCTTTAAGAATAAGTGGGAAGCGATCAAGAAGAGATTCCCAAGCTCTAGTTGGACCTGTCCTTCCAGTTCCTTTTCTTCTATTGCTGCAAAGGATGGATCATCAGAAGACATCTTCTTGCGTAAATGAAGAACCAAATGATGACTTGTTGATCTCAGAATGCCAATCAACCCGTCCTCTCCGCCGTCAACTCCTTCTTTGACTCCTCCTCCTCCTTCCTCCCCTCCTCCTCCCGCTCCGCCCTCGCGGCCGACGTCCTCTCCTCCTCCTCTCCCGCCACCGACCCCATTGCCAGCAACCACCTTTGCGCCCTCCGTTCCCGCTCCGATCTCTTCGCTGCCAGGCTCTTCTTCCCCTCCGGTGACAACTCCAGCTTCATCAGCTTCCTCCGATTGTCTTTCGACGGCCCTCGATGTCAAGGTTTTAAGCACATGTGCCATAGGATAACGAAGCACCCGTACCATCGGATAACGAAGATATCGGTGATCCCCGCTTCAGAGCAGGACGTCATCATGGACACTACAGGCGAGATTGTGGCAGTTGATGGATTCTTGATTGCTGCTACACTGTACTCTGTCAATTGGTTTAGGGTTGAGTCTAGGGTTTTGGAGGGCGAGGAGGTTAGGATTTCTGTCCTGCCGATGGCGAAGCAGGGGTTTGAGAGTTTGGTGGTTGATGCTCGCCTGAGCCCACATTTTCCGTGGCAGAGTGTGGTGTTGTTGGAGTCCGGAGAGCTGTGTTGGTTTGATATGGAGGATAAGAGGAGCGGGAAGATTAGGGCTTGTGTGGGTTTTGGTGGTGGTGATTGGTTGGGGTGTGAGTTTGGAGGGCAGCCGTGGATTGTGTATGTTGCTTGTTCTTCAGTGGCGGTTAGGGTGGATATGAGAGTGAATGATGGAACTGAACCTAAGATTTTGGTTCGGGTTGACGGTGATGAAGATGATCGGATTCTTGCATTCTGTAGATCAAATTTTGATGATTTTCATGTAGCTGCGGTGACAGAGAAAAGACTGATGCTTTTTGATGTTAGGCAGCCGTTGGTTCCGATTTTGATTTGGGATCATGAATTGAACCGCCCTTCTTATGTATCTATGTTTAGATTATCGGAATTGAGACCGTCTGAAGAGTTCAAACGGGCATCGGATTCAGGGTCAGTGATTTTGGTTGGTTCATTTTGGAAAGATGAGTTTAATGTATTTATTTATGGGCCTAGAGATGGAGGTGCAATTAGTTGTGGTTCTATGCTTTATGCTTGGGAGCTTCCTTATTGTTTTCCTTTGTCCTGTCGCCATTATGGCTTAGATGACAGCCTTGCAAAAGATGATCTTGCGGCTAGTTTTGAGTGGAAACAGAAGGGGGATGTGGTTGTGGGGTTCTGGACGGTCCCGAATGATCTTCTCAAGGTAGAATCAGAAGATGGGGGCTTTGCTTTGATCAGGCTCATGCTATCCGGGAAGCTTGAGATGCAAAAGTATCATGCGTCACGGGATAAAATCAGAAGGAAACCAAATGCTAAAGGAGAAGAATTGCCAAAATCTGACAATTGGTATGTATGTTCTGTGGAGCATACAGGTAAAGCATCCTCACGACGTCATCCTTTAAGAATTGGGCATCTTTGTGAATATATGAATGGTAACTTGTCTAGTGAGCTTGTTATGTGCAAGCCTCAATTGAGCCACTTAAATAAAAAATTTCCAGCTGATTATCTCGAGCAACTTAAAGCCATCAAGCTAGAACCTTCAAATTATATGGTCTCTACATTTGTAAATGATGCCACAGTTCCGACTAGTATATTTGAAATTACATTAAGGAGAGTATTGTGCAATCTAGAATTGGATCACTCATCAATGGCTTTTTCCAAATATTCTCTTATTTCTAGAAACAATAAGGAACCTGTGTTCAATTTGTTAGAGGTTCCTAAACGTTTGCCTCAACATAGGTCAATACCTTTCTTTGTGGGCGACCCTTTAAGAATAAGTGGGAAGCGATCAAGAAGAGATTCCCAAGCTCTAGTTGGACCTGTCCTTCCAGTTCCTTTTCTTCTATTGCTGCAAAGGATGGATCATCAGAAGACATCTTCTTGCGTAAATGAAGAACCAAATGATGACTTGTTGATCTCAGAATGCCAATCAACCCTTGAGAGCATCCACCCTGAAATCTCACTTGCTGATACTGGCAATTTTAGTGATTTTGGCTCTTCTAATGGGCTACAGAATGAAAAGTCGTTTTTTGTATATGAAAAATCAGTTATTTGCAATGCACCTAGTAGCAAAGGATCATGGAAAACGGCAGGATGTGGGGTAAAAGAAGAGCCGCAGGAAATTAAGGATACTAGTTTAGAAACTGAAACTGCATGTGAAGATGAGAAATTCACCACGTTTGTTTGTGGAATTTCTGACAAGGCATACCATTCATATTCTGGCAATGAAGCAGAAGGACTTGAAATGTTCGATCAGCTTAACCCATATAGGTTGGATTTTGATTCACCTTCTGTTGTATTTCAGCCAAAGGAGAAGGAAATGTACAAGCGCTTGACTAAACAAAGTTTTAAATGGTTGGTAGATTATAAACCACATGAAGAATTCTGCATTGCATCGGACACTCCCAAGCCACCTCACTGATGTCTTATTTAAACAGTTTCTATCCTATTTACAATAAGTTACTCTATGTGTCCTATCCATCTTACTTGAGATTTATGGGGAAGGAATGGCGCCAGACGATTATGGGGAAGGAATGGCGCCAGACGAGACTATGGGATTATCAGGTATGAGCTTTTAAAAGAATTTTTTTTTCCAGATTCATACTGAGTGGTATATGTACTCAACCATTAATGTGTGAGTCGTTAGCTGTGTCCATTTAAGAGCATGCTAGAATTTATGCAAAATTTTAATTATACCATGATGTATTAAGAGATAATCTTATTCATTAATTTTTTAGATTTATCTATCCATCCTTCTTACTTGACATTTGTGTAGAAGAGATGTCACCAAAGGAGCCATGGTTATCACTTATCAGGTATGAGCTTTTAAGAGGATTCGTTTTCAGATCTGTAACTAGTGGTATATACGTTCAACCATTACATTGAGAGTTGTTAGCAGTATTCCCCAAAGAGTATGTAAAAGTTTATACAATATTTCAATTACACCGAGGTATATTAGGAGCTAATATAATTCATTACTTTGTTTTCATATTTTCTTGAAATCTCTGTTACCTAAAGACTAAAAAGTCATCACATATTCCAATAAGTTTTAGTTTAAGCAAGAATTCATTTTCTTCAATCCAATGGAGTTAAAAGGGTCTCGTCTATTTAAAGTAAGTCTATAAGCTTAACTCAACAATGGTCACAGAGAGATTTCAACACGACAGATGTAAGCTCAGCAATTGCATTTAAACATAGATTCTTCCCTTTCATGCTTGTGAGAAGTAGCTAACTCCTTAATTATTTATTTGTTTAGGCTTACATATCATTGTAATGGACAAACGAAAAGATTAAGAATTGTTTATAGCTTGGACCTATCAATGAGGTTGATGGATGATAGAAATACAGTAGTATTGTTCATATGTTACCATAAATAAGTTAAGATTTAGTCCATGTTTAAGATTTCATCTACAAAGCACAGGTTCATTAATTTTCGGTTCAATGTCTCCTGTTGTCTCAAACATCTAGTATTGGTTACCCTTCGGGTTAAGCTAATGAAACTTTCAGTTATCAGATTGTAGAACCTTATATGGACATGAATAAATTGACAATTTAAAGATTGAATTTGATATAGAAAAGAATAATTTCATTCCTGTAGTTTATTTTAGAAGGTGAGAAGTTTCCAGACAGAAATTCTTTAACTAGGTTCTCAGATAGGATTTTCCTTTCCAAACAGATATTGGTTGGCTTTCTGATAGGTATAGGAATTCTCTGCTAGATAGGGAAAAGATTTGATTTCTGTCTACCTTAGTGATTTGGAGGCTGGATTTGGATTGGCAATAAGTCCCTTTTAAGGATATTGTGGTCCGTAGAATTAGAAGATTCTTTCCAGCTTAGGGACGTCTTGATCGATGGAATTTGAAGATTTGAGTTTCATTCTACTTTAGAAACACGTATGTTAAAGTAGAAACACATATGTTCAGGATTCTCGAAACTTCGTAAATGGTTTTAGTTTAAAGACTTTCTGATCAGATATTTGTCGCCTTGAACATGATTGTTTATATTTTTAATTTAGGTGCATCATGTTCCATTGGGTTTTGAACTTGAATTTGATTAGTTTATATGTTTTCCAGTGCATAAAGTTTGATACTTTGGACTTGAGCTAATTTTTGCTTTGCTGTGTCTTCAATGTGAGCTCTAATCCATTCTTATCTCGCAGCTTTATTGATGATCCAGCAATTGTTTATGAGCTTCTCAATTCTTGTTCTGCAGAAACCTTCGAGCCTTTTACTTGGTTCTTAGTTACCCTGGGATATAGCAGCTTCCAGGTTTCTTCACTAATGATTTGTAATTAACCTTGACCTTACTGTTCCTTACTTTTTCACTACTTCACTGTATTCTCAGGTTCTTCGTAACTTACTTGATAATAGTTTTTGTGATCTTACGACTTCTTAATTGCAGAATATGAATTTTCTTCAGGCTCTTTTGTGGTGTAACTGATATGATGGGGGCTTTGAGATCTTCAAGCACATTTCTTGATGAACAGAAAGCGCTTATCAATTGTCAACTATTTACAAGAGCCCCGGATGTGTATCAGTCTACAAGCTTCTCTGTGGCTAGTTCTTTGAGCACCTTCGTCATTAAACGGACAACAACAGTGCATTTCCTTTGGTGAGTTTGATGACAACATTTTGTGCATCTTTCGCGGTCATTCTGCAATAAGTCGGAGGCCATTAGCAATTTCTCTTTCAACATGCTTCAGATTTCCGATTGTTCATCTCTCGGTAAGAAGGTGATATTTGACTTGTGGATGGTGTTGCAGTGAGAAGGGAAGAAACTTTGACTTGCTCAAAAGTTTCTCTGGGGTTAGATGTAACCAACGTGTTTGGTGAAAGAGCCATTCTTAACAAAAAAAAGAAAAAAAATGTCTAACTTATGAGAATCCTCATGTTGCATTTGATTATCAAAGTTTACAATTATGTGTTCAGCGCAGTATTTTCCTGCTTTAATCAAGCTCATGAAAGTCCTCATGCTGTTTTAACTGTTTGATTATCAATTGTTCTTAATAGAAAATGTCGAGCTTATGAGAATCCTTATGTTGCATTTGATTATCAATTGTTCTTCTTTTTTCTTTTTCTTTTCCCAAAAGAAAAAGAAAAGAAAGTCCTCATGCTGTTTTAATTATTAAGGAGGGCAAATTCTCTTGGTAATAAAATGTTTTGTATACTTTTCTTCTGACCCAACCTTCTCATTTTCTCTAGTTCTCTTTAGGGTATTAATAATATGCTAATGTCACATTAATAAGAGCCCTCAATTTTTACCACTCTTTTCTAATAAGCCCCCTAACTTTCTATTTTTAATAAAAAATCTCTAAGTTTTCCCCCTCTTCTAAGAAGCATTTAACATTCTTTTTTTTTTTTGACAATGAAACCCCCTAGGTTTTATTCCTCTCCTCTGGGCAGCCCCAAAAGTTTTCTTATTAAGTTAGAGATTTCATTGTAAAAAAAAAAAAAAGGCGACTTCTTAGAAAAGAGGTGAGAGCTTATTAGAAAAGAAGGATAAAACTTAGGGGCTTCTTAGACTTCGTTATCCTTTAGTAAAGTATACTTACAACTATTGTATAGACTTATGTTATCTTTAGTCCTCTTAAACATCACCTGAAACGCATGAAAATTTGCATGCAAAAACATTATCGATAGATTTAAGCATATATTGCCCTTTTATCATGCTTCTATCTAATTTACTTAGCTTGCATCAAACTAGTAATTTGTTTAATCCGACACAAGAAGTCAGGATGGTCAAGTAGTCATGCTAGACTGAGGCATGGTTTGATATGAGGGTAATGTAAGGTGGGAGACAAAATGAAAAATCCTCTTTTATAGGGAGTTTTTAGAGGATAAGGAGAAATAAAGTAAAGTAAGGTATGGAGAGGGAAGATGCAAAACGAAGTATAAGATAAAAAGAGAGAAAATCCCTCTAATTTTGGGGGCCACAAGTGTGAGAAGAGGAAATATGTAAAATGAACTAAAAATCCACGTACTTCCCCTTTCTCTCCAACCAAATAAGAACTACAAAAGGAATAACCTTTCTTGTACCTCATTGAGTATTACCTCACATTACCTTCCCTAGGGAGCAAGTGCAGCAGCCTCCCAAGGAGGCTCCTAAGGGTGATGTGGCAAGTAAAAGCTCCCAACATGCTCCAACAAGCTCCCAAGGAGGCTCCTAAGTCCTAGTTGGCGGTGGGGTTTACCATGGAGCTCCTAAGAGCTCCACAAATTTGTAGAGCACTTGGGAGCTCCTAAGGGGTGGGGGCCCACTAAAAAATATTTTTTATTAGATTTATTGTTTTAAAATATATTTATAAAATGTTAGAGGTAGAAGAATAGATTTTTTTAAATAATATTTAAGCTCCTAATTGGGAGTTTGTTGGAATATTTCTCCTAGTAGGAAGTTCCTAAATGGGCCCCATGCTTGAGAGCATTCCAACAAGAGCTCCCTACTAGGAGATTGCTACACTTGCCCTTATACCTCCTACCAAATTGAGCCTTGATCTTATCTTTGACAGGGGTGCAGGTTCGAATCCCACTTTTGGCATTTGTCCCCC